ATATCGCATAAATACGTATACATTTAACGATAATTGCTCGTAAAAATAGGACGTAGGGCACGAAACGCGAAATGTTCAAAGTTCATCTATATTTTTACATTCTTTCTCGGTTCTTCACGCATAAAAATTCATTTACCTTTCACTTTAAATTTCAATTCCAACGTTTTTTCTTTTCGATCTTTGAAAAGACCAATTAATTTCGCTTAATCCCAACGTCTTCTCTTTGGATCCCATAAATACGTCATACAATACTCCTACGTTAGTGCGCCGCGTTAATGAGCTGGATTAATAACGAGAATTCCTGGGGACGTTGGTACAAACTCGTAAAATATGCTGCAATTACGCATCGTTCCCGTTCCAGTAAGAAAATAATAATTCGCTTCCAAGCGAAATGTTCAATGATCGTTTTAACGACAAATTATCCAATTTTTTTAATATCATTTCATCGATTCCTCGCACCCACGAAAAAAGAAAATTGGAAATATAACGTTTACGTTGGAAATTTCTTTTTCAAGCGTGAAAAAGATTTATTTGACGATTGTTCTTGATTAAATTGAATTAAAGTTCGTGAAAATGGAAATAAAAAAAGAATTGAACGGATATGTTAACCGATTCTTCCGAATCATCGCAAGAAAATGGAAAAGAAAACTCAATATTGGCGAAATCGATGGTTTGTCATAGAAATATAATACGATCCAGACAGAATTGAAATTTATGCAAAATTATTTCAAAGTTGCTCAAGAATTGCAAAGTATAAATCGCGAACTTGTAAAAGACATTAAAAAAAATTATTTATACTGGCAGAATTAATAATGAGTTAAGGAACGTATAAAATTTCCATCGATTTTCCTCGTTTATCGTTTATTTTTCCTCCTTTAATCGCACCGTTTGCAAATTTTATAATTGCCACCGATTATTAGATCATCGATAAACGTAATTATATCGTTTAAACGTAAATTATGCTTGCTAACTAACTAAGGTCCTTTTAAGTTTCGATCGAGGAATGGTTCATCATTTTCGTGGCAAATTAATTGCTCGTGGCTATGCCAATCGTGGTGGACGGTCTCGATCGATATCAAAGTCAAAGCGTTGTTGTTGTTGTACAACATTTGTCCCCGTAGCATCATCCCTGTGCACAGACTTCTGAGATGGTATGATCACTTTGTATATGCTCGTTGCTGCCTGTTTGCACGCACCCATATATCCTTCGATGGATGCTGGTCTGATTGTGAACATAAATTACGAGGTACTAGACGTGTATAGGGCACGCCCGACCGTGATATTCGGATCAGTCATGTGAAACATAACTGGGGAGAAAGGGTTTCTCTCCTTCTCCCTCCCTCCCTCCCTCCCTCCCTCTCTTTCTCTCTTTTTCTCGTCTCCCGCGTGAAAATTTCACAAAGTTTCTGAATTTATATCAACCGGCGTAACGTTTGACAAGTTTTCAAACAGATGCGCTCCACCTTGTGAAAATTTATACGCCTCGCCCCATAAAATAAATCGCACGCTCGATAATTAGAATTCTACGAAGATGGAATTGGATGAAGCGGTTCGAACGGTCTCCAGTAATTAAACTTCACCGACAGGCACGAGTGGATTTATTTAACATTTATTTAATACTCGCGTTCCATTCGAATCGCGTTCGTTATATAAGAAATTACGACAGAGACAGATCG